AAAAATGTTGTTTGACATTCAAAGCCCTTCATAACCTAGTTCCCTCCTACCTTACCATTCTTCTTACACTTTACACCTTGCCATGTTCTCTTTGATCCAGAGACACTGGCTCTGTTATTCCTAAAAGAAGACAACTCATCTCTTGGCTCCAGGCATCTTCTGGAGCTGTCCCCCATGCCTGGAACTCTCTCCTTCATCCTCTCTGACTTCCTTGGCTTCCTTTAAGTCCCACCTTCTACAGGAAGCCTTCTACAACCCTTCCTAATTTGCATGCCTTCCCTCTGCTAATTATTTCCTTTTGTAAGTTGTCTCTCCCATTAGATTACCAAGTCTTCAAGGGCAGAGACGTCTGTTGCATTTTTTTTTTGTATTCCCAGTGCTTAGCACCCTGCCTACCCCACAGCAGGTGCTTAATGTTTATTGATTTATCGATTGATTGGTTGGCTGAGGTCCTCTGGCCCAGAAGGTGCCACAGCTCATGATCTCCTCTAGATTCTATAAGACCCCAGTGCCACATCCCACAGGCATCAAGGCCTAGAAAAGGCCTTTGCTCCCTGGCATCTGGCATTGGGGGATTTAGCAGTAACAATGACCTATCTGCTATCTCTCTCCTCCCCTCCTCTCCCCTCCCCTTATTTTATTTTTTAGAAAACTGTCAGGACATTTACTTAGTTTATAAGCTTCATATGAAATATATATTAAGAGTAAAGATGTGCCTCTCTGAAGAAAGCAATCAATCACATCGGGATTTAGAGATGGGAGGAACTTAAGATATTTAGTCCAAGTTCCTTATTTAACAGATGAGGGAACTGAGTCCAAGGCGGGGTACAGCAACTTGTTAGAGGTGATAAGATATTAAGGAGTAGAGCTGGGATTCAAATTTATGGTCAGCTAAGCAGTATAGTAGACAGTGCTGGAAGTCAGGAAATCTGGAAGACTCAAGTTCAAACCCAACCTCAGACATTTACTAGTTGTATAACTCTGGGCAAGTCCCTTATCCTGTGCCTCATCTGTCAACTAGGGATAATAACAACACCCATTTCCTAGGGTGGTTGTGAGGATGAGATAGTATTTGTAAATCTCTTTGTAAAATGCTACATAACTGCTAATTATTAAATATTGACCCATTAACAAGAGAAATGAGACACTATTCCATGATTAAGGAATTTTGGCTAGAAATGGGAGCTAGAGAGACTCAATAAATACTTGAAAAACCCGAATTACCTGGATTACTAGACATGAGCTGTGGATAACTACAAAGGGGGACTTAGATGGCATAAATGATTAAATCTACGAAAGAAAAAAAATCACAGAATTTAAAAGTTAGAAGTGACCTGACCAGCTATCTAGTCCAACCCATACATGAGAAATCCCCACTAACTCAGTAGTCAGCACAGCCATTCATGTCTTTTTCCTTTGCCTGTTTTCATAAATAACATTCCCAGCTTCTATCAGACCAGGAGTCCTTTTGGTCTATCTTTCTTGGCTGTGAAGAACCAAAGTCGGGGATGCACTTTGCAGTTCTCTTGTTATTCTCATCTTGCATGGATGAATTCACAGAGAACTCTTGCTTATAATTACTTTTGATTTTGCTGCCTATCGCTGTTGGTTATATCTACTTAGAAGATACTAAGTAATTCTTCCACTCCCTTTGGCATTTATATCTTCTCACTATTTGCAAACAGTCATTGTACTGCTCCTTAATCACCATCTGATCAAGCTGTACAGTTGTTTAATCTTTCCTCTTAAATCAATCCCTCCAGCCGTTTAAATCATTTCCGTTGCTCTTTCTGGTCCTGCGGCCAATTTGTTCATTTCTGGGAAAACTGGCACCAAACTATTCCAGATGCAGCCTCACAATTGTATTTACAGCTAATATTTATTGAGTGCTAACTGGGTGCTTGACCTTGAAATAGGTAGTGGAGAGAAGGGCTCCAGTCTCTGTCATTTTATAGAACCACTGCTGTAGCATCTCTGCAGCACAAGAAGGCTCTGAATTCCCCTTGCCATATTGTGTTTCTGCCATTTTAATCTTTGGCTACATCTCAACAGCGCAGCACCCATAAGAAGACATAAATCCATCAGCAATAAGGTCTACTGGCAAAACATCCTACCGGCAATAATTCTCTTGGTTAGGGCCTCTGCACCTGGAATCTATGATCTTGATTTTAAAAAATATTTGAGAACTATTATTTCAACATAATTTTCTTTTAAATTTTATTGATTTTATATGTTTAAAAACATTATCCTAAAAAGGGGCCCATAGACCTCAACAGGCTGCCAAAAGGGGCCAACAAAAAAGGTTAAGGACCCTTAAATGACATGGCCACTAAAGTCTCTTCTAACATTCTAGGATTCATTGTTTTAGGTGCTCTCTGCCCGTGCAATTAATTGGGCAGCTAGGTGGCACAATGGATGGAGTGCTGAGTTGTCAGGAAGCCCCATCTTCCTGAGTTTAAATCTGATCTCCGACACTTACTAGTTATGGGACCCTGGGCAAGTCACTTAACCATTTGCTCAGTGTCCTCATCTGTGAAATGATCTGGAGAAGGAAATGGCTAACCACGCTAGTATCTCTGCTAAGAAAATCCAAATGGGATCACAGAGTCAGATATAACTGAATAAGCCCATGCAATTATTACTCTTCTTTTGTATTTTTTTTTTAAGGCAACTGGGGTTAAGTGACTTGCTTGCCCAGGGTCACACAGCTAGTAAATTTCAAGTGTCTGTTCTGAGGCTGAATTTGAACTCAGGTCCTCCTGACTTCAGGGCCAGTGCTCTATCCACTGCGCCACCTAGCTGCCCCTTACTCTTCTTTTGTATCACCCATGTTTAAACATAGTGCCTGGAATGTAGTGCACCCTTTGTAAATACTTCTCAATAGACTGACTGAAATAAGTCAACCAAAGATAAGTCTAACCAGAGACCAGGAGATTGGGACTGGGCCTGTGTTTTCATGGGCATGGAGAACTCCCAAGGGAAGCCCCTCTACCAATATTGGATCAGTACCAATATGGTTAAGTTATAGGAAGAAGGCAGCTAAGTGGCTTAGTGGGTAGAAAAGAGCTGGGCCTGGAGTCAGGAAGATGAGTTCAAATCTGGCCTCAGATGTTTACTAGCTATGTGACCCTGGGCAAGTCACTTAACACAGGTCACGGTTTGCCTTAATCCACCAGAGAAGGAGATGGCAAATCACTTTTTGGGGGGGACGTATGGCAGTCTTCAGGGAGGACTAGCACCTCTGGCATGAGGCTTGCTGAGCCCTTTTCAGGACTACGCATCCACCTTCGGTGTCCACGTCACCAGTTCTGATCTGTGGCTCCAAGAAACTGTAGCACGCACAGCAGCTGCAGCCCGGTAAAACCACCTTGGCAGATGGGATAAAGCAGGCTGAGGGTAAGTGACAGGCTTGAAACCTGTTGGTAAGTTAGGGGGATGTCTACCCCAAGCATTTGGAGACTTTCCCCAGCAGAATGGACACATTAGAACTTGTCTCAATGGCCATGAAAGAGACTGAAGCAGGTACTGTAGAGTGCTTAAGAGTTCCGTCATCCACTGAATCCTGGGCCATCACTAGTCATCATTTTTAGGCTAGGCAATGGGGTTAAGTGACTTGCCCAAGGTCACACAGCTAGTAAGTGTTATGTGTCTGAGGCCACATTTGAACTCAGGTCCTCCTGAATCCAGGGCTGGTGCTCTACTCACTGTGCCACCTAGCTGCCCCCATCACTAGCTGTCTTGACTTTTGTTCTGCCACTGGATTTCAATAACTCTGAAAGAGGGAGGCTGACCATTTTGTGCAGTTTTGCTTCACTTAAATCCAATAGAGTGGTCTACAGAGTACCAGGAAGGCTATGTCATTTATCTGGGGTCTAACAATTGCCCTGGGTCGGAGCCAGAACTCCGAACCCAGGGTGTCCTGACTCTGTGGTCAGTTCTCTATACCACTCTGCCACGTTACCTTCAACAGCTTAGCC